TAAATCAATTAATATATAAATAAACCAATAAGTTAATAAATTGATTAAATAAATAAAGTAATTAATTAATTTATAAATTAAAGATTTAATTCATTCATTAAAGTAACCAATGTCCAATTAGTCTGATATTGATTTAGAATAGATCTGAAATATTATGATTTCGATTGGATGATTACCGTAAGTTTCATAAACAGTATGACAGTCACCTGTACATTAAATTTGGGCGGGGTGTGGTCATTGCAGTTCTAACTACCAATGAAAACAAAGGAATTATCTTTCGGATAATAACTTGATTGGATAGCAACATAAATGACTGTCAGGTCTGATTGCCCCCCTAAAAGAATGTTGACACCACTTGAACGTGTGAAAAACATTACCATCGAAGGTCATAAATTACGTATCATATTACACATCCTTTGATTCCCAGAGATCAATTAAGTTTTATTACCCTTCATGATGGGGCTTTTTTATAATAGCATAGACACACACACAAAACACACAGAAAAAACACGGTTTAAAAGAATGATAAAAAATAAAGAAAGAAGAAAATGAGGATGTTGATCATTTGAAAATGAATAGTTCATATATAATAATGTAAATTTACAAATTATATATACATGTACGCCGTAAATTGCATAGTTTGTAACAGAAATTAGAGCGTTTAGGATGTTTTTTGTCCGTTGCATTGATCTCTTTCTTTCTTTGTTTACAATCCAGTTGAATAGTTGAATGGCTATTTGTGTTAAAAACGGCGTATTTGAAAATCGTGTAGGCACGTTCATTTAGAGCACTTAAATATCAAAAACATTTTTGTTTGGATATGTATAACTTGTACAACACGCCAAATGAAACAAAACAGCATATATTTTGATGTATTAGCGAGGAAAAGAAATACAGATAAGTATAACTGACATGAAGGTTAACAAAATTAGGTAGGGATTTTCCTACGTCATCAATTAAATGGCGGCAGATATTGCCGATTATTTATTTATTTATTTATTTATTTATTTATTTATTTATTATTTATTTATTTATTTATTTATTTATTTATTTATTTATTTATTTATCAATAAGTTAATTAATTAATTCTATATGAATGAATGAATGAAAGAACGAACGCAAACGAACGAACGAACGAATGAATAAGTAAATAATAAAATATAAAAAAAATCAAAAAATCAAAAAAATCATTCATTTAATTATAAATATATAAAAAGACAGATAATAAATAATTAAATGAATAAATTAATAACTCAATAAATTAATAAACTAATAAATAATTAAACTTATAATTTAATTAAATGAATAAATTAATAAATTAATTAAGAATTTAGTCAATTAATAAACTAATAAACTAATAAATAATAAATTGATTAGATAAATAAATTAATTAATAAATTTATAAATTCATAAATTAATTCATTCGTTAATGTAACAAATGTCCAATTAGTCTGATATTGAATTAGAATGGATCTGAAATATTATGATTTCGATTGGATGATTACCTTAAGTTTCAATACCGGTATAACAGTCACCTGTACATTAAATTTGGGCGGGGTGTGGTCAGTGCAGTTCTAATTACCAATGAAAACAAAGGAATTATCTTTCGGATAATAACTTGATTGGATAGCAACATAAATGACTGGCAGGTCCGATTGCCCCCTAAAAGAATGTTGACACCACTTGAACGTGTGAAAAACATAACCATCGAAGGTCATAAATTACGTATTACATCCTTTTGTTCACAGAGATCAATTAAGTTTTATTTCCCTTCATGATGGGGCTTTTTCATAACAGCATTATTATATAAAAGACACACACACACACAGAAAAAAAGAAGAGAAAAAAACACGGTTTAAAAGAATGATAAAAAATAAAGAAATTGAGGATGTTGAACTTTTGAAAATAAATAGTTCATATATAATAATGTAAGTTATAATAATTTATACATGTACGCCGTAAATTACATAGTTTGTAACAGAAATTAGAGCGTTTAGGATGTTTTCTCGTCTGTTTCATTGATCTCTTTCTTTCTTTGTAATAATTGAATGGCTATTTGTGTGATAATCGTGTAGGCACGTTCATTTAGAGCACTTAAATAGCAAATCATTTTTTACATAAATTTAACTTGTACAACACGCCAAAAGAAACAAAACAGCATATATTTTAATGTATTAGCGAGGAAAAGAAATACACATAAGTAAACTGACATGAAGGTTAACAAAATAAGGTAGTGATTTTCCTATGTCATCAATTAATATGGCGGCAGAAACTACCGATTACTTATTCATGTATTATTTATTTTTTATATATTATCTCATTCATTCATTCATTCATTCATTCATTCATTCATTCATAGATTGATAGATAAATGAATAAATTAATTGATTAATCAATTAATTATTTAATTATTTTTGTTACCAATGTCCAATTAGTCTGATATTGAATTAGAATAGAACTTAAATATTATGATTTCGATTGAATGATTACCTTAATGACAGTCACCTGTACATTAAATTGTGGCGGGGTGTGGTCAGTGCAGTTCTAATTACCAATGTAAACAAAGGAATTATCTTTTGGATAATAACTTGATTGGATTGCAACATAAATGACTGGCAGGTCAAAATGTTTAACGAGGCATTTATACAAATTTAGATCAGACTACAATTACTAAACAATATCAAAATATCTATTATATATTATTTAATTATATGCATATTTTGCCTTAGAAACATTTTTTTATTAAATTTTTAAGAAAGTGCAATCTTGAATTTTACAACATTTAAATATTTAATTACTTAAAAGAGAAAAATACAATGTGTTTTTTACAAGATACACATTTTACTAATGAAGAAGTTATTTTTCCGTTCGCAGTGGGGATATGAATGCTATTTCAGTAATTATAATACTTTTTAGTCAATCTAGAGGAGTAGCAATATTTATTAATAACAATTTTGACTTTAAATTTAAAAGTCTTGAAACAGATCAAAATGGTAATTGACTTTTTATACATGCATGCATTTCAAATATTGATATCCCTTTAATTTGTATATACGGACTAAATAGAGATGACCCTATCTTCTGTAACAATATAAAAGAGAAAATCTTACAGTTAGAGAACCCATGTATAATGGTAGGAGACTTTGATATGGTGTTAAATCCTAATATGGACTGCTTTAATTATTTAACCATAAATAACCCTAAGTTTTAGATATGATAATTGAATGTAATTTAATGGACTGCTGGAGGGAACAATTTTTAGACAAAAGGCAATATACTTGGTTTAAAAGAAATCCTATAAAAAAGCTAGGCTTGACTTTTTCTTAATCTCCAATAATCTTTTTACAAATATGAGTAGTGTTGACACTGTGCCAGGTTATAGAACAGATCATTCCATGATTTTATTAAGTATTCAATTTGGCAAATTTAAAAAAGGTATTTCATACTGGAAATTTAATAATTCCTTTTTGAAAGATTAACTTAATGAAATTAAATCCCTTATATCCCAGGTCAAATTACAATATGCTTTTGAAGACCAATGAACAGAGGTACAATTAGAAAATATAAGTAATAATTTTATAAGTTCTATAATAGATGATAAACTATTTTTTTAAAACACTGTTAATGGAAATTAGGTGAAAAACTATTTCATACTCGTATTATAAAAAAAAACAAGAAGACAAAACTCAGGAAAAATTAATGATAGAAATTGGTAATTTAGAAAGACAGTCAAATATTAATGTTCAGGTTTTAGATGAAAAAAAGAAGAATTACTTCAATTCCGAATTAAAAAATTGCAAGGTGTTTTTATAAGATCTAGGGCCAAATGGATTTCAGAAGGGGAAAAACCATCAAGATATTTTTGTAACAAGGAAAACAGAAATAATGTCTCAAAAACAATGAATTCTTTATATGATATACATGTATCGGATACTTTGCTTACAGATAAAAAAGAAATTCTACAAGAAGTAGCTGGTCATTACAAAAATTTGTTTACTTTTAGGGAAACAGATGATGTCAACCTTACTGCTTTATTTAATAATAATAACATACCAAAACTGAATGATGAAGAAAGCAAAGGACTTGATGGTCTTTTAACTTATAATGAAATGTTAGCCAGTTTAAAAAAAGTCAAATGATTCTTCCCCAGGTAGTAGTGGTTTTACAGCGGCTTTCTTAAAAACATTTTGGAATGATTTAGGTCATTTTGTAGTTAGATCAGTTAACCAAGCTTTTGTTTAAAGAGAATTATCAAATACCTTTAAACAAGGGGTTATAACACGCATCCCTAAAGAAAACAAAGATGAACATTATATTAAAAATTGGAGAACTATTTCTTTATTAAATTGTTCTTACAAAATTACACCAGCAAGTATTGTCGCTAACATAGCGATTATGTAATGAATACTTGGTATTTAAATGCTGTTCTTTGAATATGCTCCTTTAAACGTTATTGTATGTTGATACTCCGTTTATTGCTCCTTTGGTTTTCGCGCCAAAGTCTTATTATATTACATTGCTCCTTTTAACTTTCCCGCCATTGAATTCCCGCCACAAACATATTCACGTGCTTTTCATGATAGCTTTGTATAAATTGAGATCGCATGGTCACAGAAGTTTTAGTGTGTGTTAAAAAGTATTGTAAGAAGGAAAGTGATTGAGATATGAAAAGGATTTTGATGTAAAATACATTTAGTTGTAAAAAGTTGTGAGAGAGACAAAAACTTGTGGATTGTAAAAGAAAAAAAAAGGAAAAAAGTGTTTAAAATTGGATATTAAAAGTGGAAACTATCAAGTGTTTCTGTTATTTTCATTGTGTTTACGACATAATGAAAATGGCCCTGCTGTTTTGGATACTAAAGTGGACGTAAAGTATGAAGTGAAAATTAAAAATGAGAAGTGACAAAAGGTGTTAAGTGCATTTCAAAGGTGGATTATTTCTTTACTCGATTAAGTGTTCTGACAAAATTGTGTTTGTGCAACCTGAATATATATTCAAAATGCCAACTGTTGCTTCATTGAAAGGAGTGAGAACGAAGTACAGAAAAGTGGTGATAACTGAGCTTCAAAAAGCAAACGACCTTCTGAAAAGTGAGGTGAGTGCAGTGTCAGAAATTGAGTTTTTAAAAGATGTTCAAAAGTGTAAAAGTCTATTGAAATCCTATTCTGAGAAATTGATGAGTCAAATGGATAAACTATCAGAACGTTTAACTAAAAGTGATTCGGAATATTTGCAACAGATTGTAGATGAGGATTGCAATTTGAATTTCGAGGTAGAAAATTGTATCATTGATTTAGACCAATTTTGTGAGTCAACTGTACCATTGAAACATGATGAGAAAGAAAAAGAGACATATCAAGAACAAATGCAAAAGATGATGATGACACAAATTGAACAGCAACATCAAATGATGGTGCAGATGCAAACGGACAGAAAAAATACAAGTGCAGTTAAATTACCAAAACTTGATTTGGACATGTTTTACGGAAACAAAATAAACTGGTGGGAATTTTGGGACTCTTTTGAATCCATTGTGCACAGAAACACCAAACTATCCAACATAGAAAAGTTTAACTATTTGCTAAGCAAACTAAGCGGAGAAGCGAAGAGAGCATTAGCTGGACTTGCGCGTACCAACGACAATTATTCTATTGCAGTCGGAATTCTCCGAGAGAGGTACGGCAACAAACAAGAGATTATTGATCTTCATTACAAAGAAATGGTTAATGTTCATTCACCAACTACAAAGGTTGAAAGCCTGCGATTTTTTTTGGATTAAGTTGAAAAAACCTTACGCAGTCTTGAGATGCTAAAGGAAAATGTGAATCAACACGTTTTTGTTTCAATGATTCGCACAAAGCTGCCAGAGGATGTGCTCCGGCAGCTGGAAATAATAAAAGGTGCAAAGAATGAGTGGACTGTTGACAGTTTGCGTGATCACCTACGAGATTACATTACCGCTTGTGAAAAGTCTGACAAAGGAAAGAGTGATAGAGTGCATGGAGGTCAATTTAATTCAGTGAACAGGGGAATAAAGAAAGACGGAGCAATGCCAACGAATACTTGGAATAAAGATTTTCATAATCAACATCATTTTCAGAAATTCCGTAGCAGTGCCGACACATTTGTGGCCAATGAAACTGTTCATAACAAGCCAGTGTGTAGATATTGTGCAGAGAATCATTGGAGTGACATGTGTACTCGATTCGCAACATTGGAAGAACGGAAAAACAGAATCAGAGGTAGTTGTTATCGTTGCCTAAAGGATGGTCATGGAATTCGTGAATGCAAATCAAATAAAAAGTGTGTGTACTGTAATCAATTCAATAGACATCATAGAAGTCTGTGTCCTTAGAAATATAAACAAACAACACAAGAAGAATCACAGATGAGTGCAACGGAGCAAATCAATAATATCTCACCGATGGAGCAAAATGAAGAAAATGCTATGTTGTCTCACGGAGAATCTGTGTTTATGCAGACGGCGCTAACTGATATTCAAAACCCAACATCTAACGAAAGTGTCAAGACAAGAATTCTTCTTGACTGTGGCTCTCAGAGAACATATATCACACAGTCACTAGCTGACAAATTAAGACTAAAGAAGCAGTATGTCGAAGAGTTACATGTGTTTACATTTGGCGGTAAAGATGCTAGAGTGATAAAGACACACGTGACTTCCATCAATTTAAAGTTAAGAAATGGACAAAAGCTATGTCTTAAAGCAAACATTGTACCAGTGATAAGTGGAAGCATACATAGAAAGTCACTGAATAAACAAGTCCTGAAAGAATTCAGAGATATTGCAGAAAATTTGGATCTAGCTGATACGTTTCCCGACAAAAATGAAACATCTCAAATAGAACTTTTGATCGGCAATGATCATTACCTAGACATTGTACTTCAACAAAAGATTGAAGTTCAGCCCGGATTGTATCTGATGTGTTCTAAACTCGGTTGGATTCTAACAGGAAGGTCATACTCAGAAATAAAAGAGAAAGAGGAACCAAACATGCTCATTCTCACACACGGAAGTGTTAACAATTCAACTATAAACAAAGGAATATTCTGTGGTATCGATTCTTGTGAAAACTCGATTCAAGATCTAGAGGATTTTTGGAACATAGAGGCTATAGGCATTTGTGACAAAGACAAAATGAATGATGATGAGTTATCAATGAGAAAGTTTAAAAGCACACTCACCTTTCAGGATGGTAGATACAGTGTTACCTGGCCATGGAAAGAAGAAAATCCAGATTTACCCGAAAACAAAGGACTTGCAATTGGACGACTTAAGTCGTGTTTGAAAAGACTAGAAAACAAACCTGACCTGCTAGAAAAATACAACAATGTTATAAAAGACCAACTGTCAAAAGGAGTTATTGAGAAGGTTCAAGACTCGGGGAAAGGCAAGGAATATATGCATCACTATATTCCTCATCATGCGGTTATCACGCCACAAAAGTCAACAACAAAGCTAAGGATTGTTTACGATGCGTCGGCAAAAATATCACCAGAATCAAAGAGTTTGAATGAGTGTCTTTTTCGAGGTCCTGTTTTACTCAAGGACTTGTGTGGGCTACTTATGAGATTTCGTTTACATAGAGTGGCAATGGTTGCGGACATCGAAAAGGCGTTTCTTCAAGTTGGTCTGCAAGACTCAGAACGCGATGTAACCAGATTCTTTTGGATTAAAGACACAAAAAGACCATCACTGTTTCCAAACAACATCGAAATTTATCGTTTCTGTAGAGTACCGTTTGGGATTATTTCAAGCCCTTTTCTTCTGAGTGCAACGATTGAGGCTCATTTGAATGCTTATGACACTAAACTATCAGAACAGCTGAAACATGACATTTATGTTGACAATATTATAACCGGAGCATCCAGCGATGAACAAGCTGTAGACTTGTATAAAGAAGCAAAAAGCATGTTTAAAGACGCCTCAATGAATCTTCGGGAGTGGAGTTCAAGTAGTGAAAAAGTAAACAGTCTTATTCCAGAGGTTGACAGATCCACTGAAACTGAAACTAAGGTTCTAGGACATGTTTGGGACATAAAATCAGATATTCTGTCAGTAAAATCTGTATGTTCGAATATAAACCGTTCATTAGTGACAAAACGAATCGTACTGAAAGGAATAGCATCAGTATTTGACCCCATGGGTCTTGTGTCACCAGTCATTCTTCATGGAAAAATGTTGCTTCAAGAAATGTGGGAAAGTGGTTTCGACTGGGATACAAAGATAACAGACGAACATGTGCTCGATAAGTGGTCATTTATCAGCGATCAGCTTAGGTTGATATCTGACATCAAAATACGCCGGAGTATCGTTTCTCAAGACAAATATGTAAAATACAATTTGCTTTGTTTTTGTGACGCTTCGTCAAAGGCTTATGCCACTGCAATCTATCTACAGCAAGAAAATGTAACTTATGTGAAATCAAACTTGATCTTTGCCAAAACACGTCTTGCTCCAGTCAAGAAAATGACTATTCCAAGACTAGAGCTAATGGCAGTGCTAATAGGTGTTAGGTGTTTGAAATTTGTGAAGACACAGTTAATGATAGAAATATCTCACGAATACCTTTGGACCGACTCTCAGGTAGCATTAGACTGGATTAATAGTAAAAAGCAACTTCCCGTATTTGTGAAAAATAGAGTTAAAGAAATCAAAAACAATAATTGTGTGATTATTGCTCATGTAGACACAAAAGATAATCCAGCTGACGTTGCAACTCGAGGTTCGTCGGTGAGTGATTTAAAGGACAATTCTTTTTGGTGGAACGGTCCCACTTGGTGTTGTGAAAGTCCACGAAACTGGAATACAAATCACGACAATATTATTGACATGGAATTAAAGCAAGAAAAAGATGAAAAAGAACTATGTGTTTCATTGCATGTCGAAGAAAATGAAAGCAAAACAAAACATGATATTGTACCACCTTGTGGAATTGACATTCAAAGATATTCAACGTTGACAAAAGTGTTTGTGTTACAGCTCTTGTGTTAAAGTTCATTAGGAAACTCAAAAATGTAAAAGATGATGCAAAATATCTAACTTGTGACGACTTACGACAAGCTGAAAATTTGTGGATAGTTTATGTTCAAAGGAACATTTATAATAAGGACTATAAGAATATTCAAAAGAAAAAGCCGTCCGGACTACAAAGACAACTTGGACTGGTTATCGACAACAATGGATTATTGCGTTGTACTGGGCGTTAAGGGAACCCTTGCTTATCAGAAGGAGCAAGACAACCTATTCTTCTACCTCACAAAGAAAAGTTTACTGAACTAGTGATTCAAAGGGCACATAAAGAGTGTATGCATTATGGAATATCATATACGCTATCCAGAACAAGACAAACATATTGGATAACTCGCGGTCGTTCAGCGGTCAAAGCAGCATTAAATAAGAGTAATGTGTGTCGCCGCTACGATGGAGGCCCATACAATATGCCTGTTATGGCCCCACTTCCCAGTTCAAGAGTACCAAATCAAGTGCATTTTCACGAACTGGATTAGATTATCTTGGACCTTTGAACATTAAAACATCAAATGGTAATAGAAAAGTCTGGATATGTTTATTTTCGTGTATGACAACACGTGCTATTCATTTGGAAGTGATTCAGGATTTAAGTACAGAAGAATTCCTGATGTGCTTGCAACGATTCATTTCACAAAGAAACACTCCTATCAAGATTGTTTCTGATAACGCTGCTCAGTTTAAACTTGCAAGTAAAGTCATACATCATATATGGAAAAACGTAGTGCAAAGTAATGAAGTAATGTCATACGTAGCTTCGAAGGGCATGCGTTGGAATTGCATTGTCGAGTTAGCTCCCTGGATGGGGGGATTCTATGAACGGTTAGTTGGGGTAGTTAAAAGTGCACTTAGAAAATCATTAGGACGAAAACTTCTTACAATGATTCAACTTCAAACACTTATCAAGGAAGTGGAAACCGTTGTCAATTCGAGACCCTTAGTTTACGAAGAAAATGATTTATCTTCTAACATCACTTTGACACCTGGCATTTTTTAACATTAAATCCAAACACCAGCGTACCAGACTTAGAAGACGACGATGGTGATGAAAACTATTTACCTGTCGAAAGTTCAACTGAAAAAACTGTTAAAGATTTGGAAAAAAGGACAAAGATTACTGAATGAGTTCTGGAAAATTTGGCGTGATCAGTACCTTGTGAGTTTAAGAGAGCGCCTTCAGACTCAATTAAAATCAGGACGGATCACTGCCAAAACAATACCGAGTGTGGGTGATGTTGTGCAAATAAAGGAAAACTTACCTAGAGGAAGTTGGAAATTGGTCGCATTGTGGAGTTAGTGACTAGTAATGATGGAGAAATTCGATCTGCTAAAGTACAGCTACCTTCGAAGAGACTGATAGGCAGACCTTTGAACTTACTTTATCTTCTTGAATGTGATAAAAATCTCACATTTATTGATGACAAAGGTGATACGAACAATGAGAAAAGTGAAAGAAACCAGATAAAGTATCAAACAGAACGGCAGCGGAAATTGCAAAACAAAAAATTAAAAACTATTTTAAGTAAAAATTATTTAAAAAAATCAATGATGTAAATAACGATGATATTTCATAAAATAAATATGTGTTTAGATTCTAAAACATTTAACATACATTCTGTATCGAATAGAGACACAAAGACAGTCTTTAATTGTTTGACATTATAGCAATGTGTGTTGAAACACTCAGGAAGAGATTGTGATGAGACTATTTTGTATATAAGCACTTTTTTATATATTGTTTTTACTTCATGTATTTGGACATAGATCATATGTCATGTATTGCATTTAATTTGACACTTCTAAGTTAATCAATGTGCATTGTCATTGGATATTTCTAAGTATTTATAATTAGCTCAAGTTAATCACTTTTCTCAAAAACATACATATTGTATTTTCTACTATAAATATATTGTATGCTCATTTTCTATGGCGGGAGTGTCGCTAACATAGCGATTATGTAATGAATACTTGGTATTTAAATGCTGTTCTTTGAATATGCTCCTTTAAACTTTATTGTATGTTGATACTCCGTTTATTGCTCCTTTGGTTTTTGCGCCAAAGTCTTATTATATTACATTGCTCCTTTTAACTTTCCCGCCATTGAATTTCCGCCACAAACATATTCACGTGCTTTTCATGATAGCTTTGTATAAATAGAGATCGCATGGTCACAGAAGTTTTAGTGTGTGTTAAAAAGTATTGTAAGAAGGAAAGTGATTGAGATATGAAAAGGATTTTGATGTAAAATTAATTTAATAGTAAAAATGTGTTAGAGAGATAAAAACTTGTGGATTGTAAAAGTAAAGATAAAAAAGTGTTTAAAAATTGAATATTAAAAGTAGAAACGAAAAAGTGTTTCTCTTATTTTCATTGTGTTTACGACAAGTATTGCCATACGCCTTAAAACTGTTTTAAATAAACTTATAAGTGAAGATCAAACTGGTTTCTTATCGGGAAGATACATAGGTGACAATATAAGACTTATTTATGATATCATGCAATACACAGATGGTCATCAAATTCCTGGAATGCTGTTACTTATTGATTTTGCAACAGCCTTTGATTCTGTATCATGGACATTTATGCATAACGTTTTAGAGTTTTTCAATTGTGGTGAAAATTTTATAAGTTGGATAAAGTTAATTTACAAAAACATTCATTCTTGTGTTACAATAAATTGAAATGGGTCAGACTGGTTTCAATTACAGCGTGATTGTCGTCAGGGCGATCCCCTCTCCCCTTACATTTTTCATAGTATCTGCACAAATTTTTGCGTTATTCATGAAAAATAATACAAATATAAAAGGTATCAGACTTAATACATGTAATTCTGAATTTTTATTATCACAATATGCTGATGACACAACTATAATGCTTGATGGAACTGTTAAGTCTCTAAGACACATTATGCAAGTTTTAAAATTTTATGCTAAAATGTCAGGTCTAAACTTTAACATAGATAAAACAAAAGCAGTATGGATTGGTTCTATGAAAGGGAATACTAAAAAAATTTGCCCTGACTTAAATCTTCAGTGGGAATCTGAATGTTTTCAGCTACTTGGTGTTACTTTTACAATTATTTTAAATAACATGACTCAGGCCAATTATTTATCTAAACAGGAGGAAGTTAATAAGTTATTTACCCATTGGTCAAGACGTATTATTACCCCTATTGGTAAAAATGTTGTTATCAAGTCATTAGCATTACCTTAATTAAATCAACTCATTCTTAGCTTGCCAAATCCTGATATAGGAACAATTAAAGCTATACAAAACTCCTTCTTTAAATTCTTATGGAAGTCAGGACCAGATAAAATTAAAAGAAATGTTGTTATTCAGAAGTATGAAAATGGGGGTTTCAGAGTGATAAACTTAGAGACTTTTATAATGTATCTAAAATTGACATGGATATATTAAGAAGAATTTTAATGCATAATACCAAATACTTTAATTTTGTTAATAATATGTACCCATTTCTATCAAATATTAGTAAATATGGAGACCAATTTTTGATAAATAAACTTCAGACAGTGCAAAATAATTTTTTGAAAGATGTTTTTACTGGGCTCATACCCCAGGAATAGGTGTGAATTTTGCTCACTTACTGTTTGGCATAATTCTATGTTTAAAATAGGTGGTTCTACTGTTTGTTTCTAAAGATATGTAAATTGTTGTTTATATTGGTTAATGACTTCTTACACAAGAGAGGAAATTAGCTATCATTTGATGAATTTCTAACTAAGTTTGATATAAATACCAATTTTTTAGAGTATCAAAACATTATAGAGTCTATTAGGAGAATTTAAATCAGCTGTCTTTAAGACACCTACCTCAGAAAGAGGAAATGCATATTCAGCCTTTAATGATCAAGATAATCAATAGTCAAAAGAAGGGATGTAGACAAATCTATGATTATATTCTTAGAGCAAATATATCATCTATTATTAAGAGAAAATAAGAAGATGAACTCAATTTGAATAATGATTTTAATTGGAATGGCATTTATAGGCTCCCTTTTAACATTAAAGAAGGATTCAAAGTTACAATGGTTTCAGTATAAAGTTAATTACAGGATACTAGCAACAAATTATCTTTTACATAAAATGAGAATAAAATATTTTAATACATGTTCTTTTTGCAACAACTATATTGAAACTATAAAAAATTTATTTTGGAATTGCCAGTTAAGTTCTTCCTTTTGGGAAGATATAAAATCATGGATAAATTCAAAATGTACAGATGTTAACACACAGTAAACCTTAACAGATATAATTCTAGTCAATGAACACTTAGATAATGCAACATTGAATTTAATTCTGCTGGGAAAGTATACTCTATCGATGCAAATTAAAAAACACAGTTCCAAGCGTCCAACTTTTTTAAAAAATATGTCGCTATTCTTTTGAGAACACAATTATACAGTGCAAAAAAAAATAAAGTTTCAAAGTTTGACACTTTGTGGGGAAAATATATTTCTTTGCTGCCTAATTGAGACAAATGTTTTAAGATTATTTTTTAGGATTGATCCACTCTGTATTGTACCCACTGCCTTTTTTGTATCTTTACTTATCAAACACCTTGAATGACCTTTGGTCTTTTATAATCTCTCTCATGATATAAATGCATAAAGTATTTATGACAAGAGGTGCAACTCTTAAATGAATATCAATTTTAAGATAGTAGGAGTTGTTTCCCTTGAATTAATGACATTTTTAAAATATAAATTCAATATAAAATTGGAATTTCTCCTTTATGTTAGATAAGTTCTATAATATTGTAAAGTAATAAGTTCCGAAAACGAATCTTTTACTTATGTTATACTGAAATAAGTCTGGTATTAAAAATTTGTCAACTCTGTTAAGATACTACTGAATTATTACCTTAATTATATTTATAAACTTGGTAGATTCTAAAAAGTAATCTCTTATTCCTTATTATACGTATATCTCATATATTGTATGTAT